GGGCACACGTTAAGGAGACAAACACTAACAGACAGGCCCTGATTTGGAATCCTCAAGGTACCAGGAAGAGAGAAAGACCAAAAGCCTCATAGAAGAGGAGATTAGAGTCAGATTTGGTGAGAATGAAGAAAAGTTTAGCTTATCTAGCAAAGATAGCCCAGAACAGGGACAGATGGAAAAGTATTTTTGATTGCCTGTGGTCCATTGGGCTGAAATAGCAAAGATAGCCCAGAACAGGGACATATTAAAAGGATTGAGGATGGCCTATTATCAATTGGGCTGAACTAGCAAAGATATTCCAGTACAGTGACAGATGGAAAAGTATTGTGGATGGCCTGTGGTCCATTGGGCTGAACTAGCAAAGATATTCCAGTACAGAGGCAGATGGAAACGTATTGTGGATGGCCTCCATTGGGCTGACCTAGCAAAGATAACGTCGACCAAGGACAGATTAAAAGGATTGAGGATGGCCTATTATCCATTGGGCTGAACTAGCAAAGATAGCCAAGGACAGGAAAAATTGTAAAAGTGTCGTGGATGACCTGTAGTCCATTCGGAGTGAGAAAGACTAAGAATAAACGAAATATAAGATGGCACCATTTTTTGGGAACTCATACCTGATATGTTGACGCGTAAAGAAATAATGCTTTGTGTAATCTTATTTGGAGTTCCTGGGTGGACCACTAGTTTCATTCTATGTAAAATAGGTTGCCATAATTTCCTAGGATATTTCAAACAATTTTTATACATCTGTATATGTTCCAGGAAGTGGCTCACGGACCTGAACGATTGGTGATTGGTTCATTCTCTGCCGCCTCCAACGTCACGGGAATTCTCACGGACACCGTGGCGATATCGAAGCTCATGCACAAGTACAAAGGATATGCGCTCTTTGACTACGCATGCGCTGCGCCGTACGTGGAGATAGACATGAACTGTACAGAACAAGGGTGAGTCATTAAAACCTAGAGCGTTGTTGGGTACGGCCGGTAGCTCACTAAGCATACTAGCCGATGTGTGGAGATGTAAGCTTCCTTCCTCATAGTGGCCGGAGCCCAAAGATATTTCTGGATGACCATAGATCTTCATTCCAACCCTCATACTGCAAAATAACATTCAAGAAATTATACATACATATTTCTAGGCTTGTCATCGCTTAACACATTAATTTTGCGTTCTTTCTGACACATTCCTCCACAGACCCCTGGCCTATAAAGACGCCGTGTTTATATCGACCCATAAATTTCTTGGCGGTCCACAAACTCCAGGTACGTAACATTTACTGATGGCAACGCAAACATATCAAATAAAATTACAATTTTTATAATAATCAGCGCTATATGGCCAGCGGTCAAATTCTTTGATGTGGTCCAAATGAAACGCAATTTCTTTGTTGAGCATATTATTCTTATCCATTTTGGCCACTCCCCGTATTTGCTCTACACTGACATCTGTTGCCTCTGTTTCGTGGAAAATTGTGGAATTATTTAGCTTCATTACGTTTAGAATAACGTTTCGAGACTTTGAAGTATGTGAAAAAGTTATAGTTCGTTTGGGATTCCATGATGATAAGTGACACAGTCAATTATAAATTATCTCTCTTATAATGATCACGCAAACATTTTAAGCTAAGTTGAAAAAAAAAAGGGTTGAGAATAGATGGAGTTCACGTGACACCCATAAATATGACTTTTCTAAATTGCTGAAGGAAACGTTTCTTGTATTTACTTAACGTACATGTGACTTTCCACCATTTCAGGGATTCTCATAGCTAAACGTTCGATGTTCAGAAATCAAGTGCCTCATGGCGCTGGGGGAGGAACCGTTGTGTTTGTGAGTATTCATTTATCAGCTTGGTTCTAAACTCATTCATGAAATACTATAATGTGTTTTAATGTGTCCCCAATGCACAAACATTGAATTATAAAGCGACATCGCGAATAATACACGCAATTGATCAGCCTTGGAATTAACCACTCTAATTATCGTACCGATTTCAATGGCTTTTACTACATTATGTAGCTGTGAGTGTTGTATCGGGTAGATTTTTTTTTCCATACCAAGCTCATCACTATAGAATCAGACTTTTATTTTGACAGAAAACAGAACTACTCTCGCTTGGTTGTGGTGCACTATAAAATCAACTTGAAATAACGTATCATGACTCGAGAGACTTCAGAGGAGAATACAATTTAAACAATTCAGAACTACCACAATGTCAACGTGACATATTTTTGTCCATTTGATTTTCCGTGCCAAATTTAAATAAAAAAAAAAAAAAGAAATTTAATTGACACCTTCTTGTCTATTAGGTTCGTCGGCATGGTCACAAGTACCACAAGGAGGCTGAGCACCGGGAGGAAGGCGGCACGCCGGCCGTCATAGAATCCATCCGTGCTGGCCTGGTCTTCAAACTGAAGGAGACGTTCACCTCGACATTCATCATGGGAAGGGAGACACGGCTGCTACAGTAAGAACGTTTGGTTTTGGAAAAGTTTTTTAAAATTATTTCTTGAAGCTCATTAGAAATTACTTTTTTTTAAATGTGTACCAACAATGTCTTTCAGTGTTGGTGCGTCCGCTTTTTAGTTCGTAAATACTTTAGATTTTTATAAGAGAGGTCACGAGATATATCACCTAAAATTAGTCTCTCTTTATGTTCGAGTGATTGACAATGCGATTTGTCATTCGTTAAATAAATACTTGACCATCGTTATAAAGTAATATTCTAAAGACAACTTGTAATTTACGTTGGAATACAGAAAGTTTTTGTCAAAATCAATCAGAGTTGTGATACATCATATTGAATTATTCTATCTAGATTAAGTCCATTGTCACATTTTGCTGAAGATATAATAATATTTTGATGGTCAATTTAAGAAATACATTTTAGGAGATATTATACCAATAATATATTTTTAATAATTCTAAAACTTTATATCATTGTAGGTTAAAAAAAGAATTATTTTTAAAAAAAAAGAATTATTTTTTAAAAAAAAGAAAAGAAAAGAATGTGTGTAAGTTAAACTAATGAACGAAGAGTCCATCTAATCAATCTGACTATTTTTCAGACGCGCCATAGCCGCCTGGTCTAATCACCCCGATCTTCTGATTCTCGGCGACCTGTCCGTAGACCGACTTCCAATTTTCTCCATGCTGTTCCGGAACCGTGCAACTGGTCGTCTGCTCCACCATGACTTTGTGGCCATGCTACTCAACGACCTCTTCGGGTTGCAGGTTCGAAGTGGCTGCGCATGCGCCGCACTGTACGGGCTGGTAAGATGATTATCCGAAATGTTACCGGATGTATTTTATGGACTACACATATCTTTAAATAGTATACAATAACTTGCCGACTTTAAATACCTAAGTTTCAAATGCGCTGAGAGCTGAATTTTATGCAGCGATCTTTCTTTGATAACATACATTGTAAAATAATTTAACAGCGTCTGCTTAAAAAAAACATACACAGACAATTTTGAACTGTTGATGTCTTATTCAGTTGTATATGTTTCTATAAGGGGCCGTTATATTATTACGCGAAGGGTTATGGAATGATTTATACATTTTTTTACATTGTTTTCTATGGGGTGAGTGCAGTGGCGTAGCTAGTGTTTGAGGCCAAGCTGTTTTGCGTCTCCCTTTACTCCAAAAAAACTCTGCAGTAGGCCGAAAATTAGGCCACTCAATGTAATAAGAAAAAAAAGTTGCCACCAGGCGCTAACCAAGCCCTCCGCTCTCCCCTTACCACGCCACTGAGTGGGATGGTCGAGAGCCATGTTATACAAACAATTGTTTTAATTTGTCGTTTTTAAATTAATCATTGTTTTCCCCAAAATTTTGCTTTATAAATTTAAGAAAGAAGCATAGATAAAAAAAAACAACTAAAATATACTTTGTTGCTTACAATAAGTAGCACATTTTGTAAAAAAAAAATGTTTGTGCTTGAAATCTTTGTAATTTTTGGTCTGACTTTATTCCGATTTATCGAGGGGGGGGGAGGGGCGATGGGGTTTGCTAGAAAATTGTATTTAATATTTGGCTAGGAGTGGGGTGGTCAATGGCAATGTTATGTAATGTTATGAGGGTTAGAGTGGTCCACAAATGTCATATGATTTTGTTGTACAATATGCGCATATGATTTATTTGGATGCGTTTCTTTCTCTCACTTAAACCTGCGTCAAATCTGTCAGTGAAAACGATGCGCCACATCATACAACAAATAGATGTACTGTTTAATTATCTTTTTTTAAATAACCCATGACGACATTTAAATAGACATGGGTAAATTATTAATAGTTCAGTCGTTGCTTAGAAAGTCTGAATACACAGTATGCTTTGAGACATTGTATGGTTTGGGGGGGGGGGGAGGTTAATTCCAAGATTCGTAGTTTACTTTCAAAAAAGTTTTTTTTTTTTAAAACTAATTGCAAAATCAGGATCTCCTGGGCATTGATGAAGACGTGGCTGAGAAGTACGAGCAGCTCATCACGCAGTCTGGCACGATGTCCAATGAAAGAAATTCAGTGAAAGAAGACGATGACGACGCCACAACGGATAACGTCATCTTCAAGTAGGCTCCCTGAAATAACTGCGTGTCGTCAATTACCATTTAACATTTGTAATTTAATTTCTTTGTCAAAACATTTGTGTGTAAGCCACTAAGGTATATTATGCTTCATTGATTATTCTTTCATTTGCATAAGCCTGTCAGGCAAATTATGATTCAATTGTCATACTTTCCCTGAAAAAAAGGACTAACGATAGGTTTGAAAATAAATAAGAATGGTAATTAGTTGTATCATATTATTTTTAAAAAATGTCACACTTTTACCGTTGATTTACATTAACACAATATATTAATATCATCTCTCTTTGAAAATTTCCGAGATTTTTATTTTGTTTTTGATGAACATCCTCAACTAAATCATGATTGTTTTCTATTGACAGACCAGGCTTCGTCCGGCTCAATTTTCCATTCTTTCTGACCGAAAGCTGTTTCAATTTTGTCATCAAAGCTGTGCTCATGACGGCACAGTTGGGCTGGCGGTTACTGCCGTTGGTGAGTTTGATATGGTTTAGGCAAATGCTCAGTGCCTCGGGCTTGTTAAAGGAGTCCAAATAATCATGTAGCAATGAACACTATCAACTCAAATTATTGAATTCCAAAAGAAACAATTTAAACACTGAAGGCTCACATCCAAGTCCTTAGACTAATGTTATTGACCCGAAAATTCTTTACGGGAATTTCTTAATCATGCACAGATGAACTTGTTTTATTATTTAAAACTAGAGTAAAAGACTCGATGTCATCGGGATAATATTGGTAGGTCCTTTGCTATAATTTCTGACTGCTATTGCAAAAACTCATCCCAATTCATAACTTTTAAAATGTAATGACATTTACGTTGATAACATCATTATGTTTTGAGAAGTGTTTATCTGCTATATATGATTCGCGTACCCTACACCCTTTCACGCTCCTAAACTACTGTTCCCCCTCTAAACATCACCTTGAATTACCCAGTCTAAATCTACATTAAAAAATTATTAAAATTGCCGTTTTTTAAAAATTAAACATTATCAGAAAATCTTAAAACCAACAATTCTTTGATCTAAGAAGAATCTCGCCAATGTTTTTCACGCCTATTTCAGATTTTACTGTCTTAAAAAAAAATTAAATTGTTAATCTCTTAAAAATACACACCTCTTTACTTTTTGCAAAGTAACAACAAAAATATATTTTCATTTTTTTAAAAAGAAAATATTAACCCATCTTCATTTGTCAAAATTTAATTTTTCAAGTGTGTAAAATGATTGGGTTTTGATACTTATAGATATACTTAGATAAGTGTACCCAAGATTTGTTAACGCTATTGATTGTCTTAATTGGTAAAAATATGTTTATTTGTAAAAATAGAATTTAACATCTCTTTTTTCAGAAACATAATACCATAGGATTTAAATATATTGTCATCCACATAAAAATGTACACATCCTTTTTCATACCACCGATATGAATGTACCCAAGGAGGTTAATTATTGATCAAATTCATTCCCTTATTTTGAGGCGTATCTTGTATTGCCATGGGCAAAATGAAATTACCCATATTTGTAAACAGAGAATGTAACATTTTATTTTTTTAAATGGAATACCATAGGAGTTAACGATGTTGTCATCCACCTAAAACTATACACATCTTATCTGCTACCTCCGAGATGTATTTACCCAAGAAAATTATTTATTTATCAATCTCATTCCTTTTTTTGGAGACAATATCTTGTTTTTAGAGGGAAAAAAAAAACTTTAATTCAAGGGCACAGAAAGGAGTAAATTTTAAGTATTTCTCTAGCGTAGTAATTGTCCATCAATGTACTTCTTTAGTGACAAATGTTATATAATTAGTACTTACTTAGACTGGGTAATTTAAGGTCATGATTAGAGGGGACAAATGTAGTTTAGGAGCGTGAAAGGGAGTAGGGTAGGCGTATAATATATAGCAGATAAATGCCTCTCAAAATTAAATGATGAAAGAAACGTAAAAAAATCATTATATTTTTATAGTTATGGATTGTGATGTTTTTTTACAATAGCAGTTAGAAATTATCGCAAAGACCAATCATTATTATACCGAAAACATCGGGTTATTTATTCTAGTATTGCCTTGGGCAAAATGAACTTACCCATTTTGTAAAAAGATAATGTAACCTTTTTTTTCATAAATAAAACCCCATAGGAGCTAATTATATCGTCATCCACGTAAACATGGAGACATATTATTTCCTATATCCGACATGTATTTACCCAAAAAGTTTAATTATTTATCAAATTAATTCCTTTATTTTGAGACGTATCTTGTGCTGTCTTGGGCAAATTGAACTTATACATATTTGTAAAAAGAGAATGCAACATCTCTTTTTCACAAACGTAATAACATAGGATTTAAATATATTTTCATCCACGTGAAAATGTACACATCCTATTAACTACCTCCGATATGAATGTACCCGAGACGGTTAATTATTTATCAAATTCACTCCTTTATTTTGAGACGTATCTTGTGCTGCCTTGATCAAAATAAACATACACATATTAATAAATATTTGTAAAAAGAGAATGTGGCATCTCTTTTTCACAAATGGAATAACATAGGAGTTAACTATACTGTCATGCACATGAAAATATTCACATCCCATTTCCTACCTCCGATATGTATGTACCCAAGAAGGTTAATTATTAATCAAATTCATTTCTTTAATTTAAAACGTATCTCGTGCAGCCTTTAGCAAAATGAACATATAAATATTTGTAAAAAGAGAAAGTGGCATACCTTTTATCACAAATGTAATACCACAGGATTTAAAAATATTGTTATCCTCGTAAAAATGTACACAACCTACATCCTACGTCCGTTATGTATATACCAAAGAGGTCAATTATTTATCCAATTCATTCCTTTATTTTGAGACGTATCTTGTGCTTCCTGGAGCAAAGTGAACCACCCCTCCCCACCCAGATTTAAATAAATTTAGAAAATCTTTCACCGGATTTTAGTCCTTTCCATACCCATACTAATATATTTTGCAGTTCATATGGTTCGTTCTTATTTGTATGGTTGGAATTTATTACGTTGTAATTTTAATAAAAGTATATATTTGGAATAAAAAAGGCAAAACTTTTTAAATGTTAAAATATTCAAAGCTAAAATATGTGTGTGTTTTATTAAAAATTCAAAAAGCAATCAATTGTATTTATTAGGTTTACTTTTAAAAGGGAAAATACATTGTCAGTTTTATCAAGCAAGGTTATTAACTTGCATCTTCAGCCTGGGACCCATTTACCCAGAAGAGCATTGACAGGTTGGAGGCGGTCCAGCGACGAGCAGCACGCTTTGTCCTAAACCGCTACAGGAATACCTCTAGTGTTGGCAGCATGCTAGAAACACTAGGCTGGTCACCATTGGAGAAACGACGACGACAATCCAGGCTCTCCATGATGTACAAGATAAATAATGGGCTGGTCCACTGTTCCAGTATTAAACAGAAACTCGTCCCTCTCCCCCATAGACAGCGACGAGGCCATGACAGGCAATTCAGGCTCATACCAGCAAGAAGCCAGTATAGGAGCTGCTCATTCCTGCCCAAGACAATCAGGGACTGGAACCATCTTTCAAAAGGAACAGTTGAGGCGACAACACTAGACACATTTGTGTCTATTGCCTCAAGCCTTCAAACCCCTAGTGCATAATTTCATCATCACCACCAGTAACAGAAACATTGCAAATCCCATCTACATGCATAGGAGCCAAAATGATCAATAAATTGATCGTGGGCCCTTAAGATATAGAAGAAGAAGAACTTTAAAGAAACCTAAGAGTTTTGGCAAAATAGGCTATTCACCCTTTGACGTCATTGGCGTGATTATTTATGACAAATTAATTTTATTTGTAATTCGCAATATTAACAACGCACTAAAAGGCGCACTAAAATCGACTGATACTTGTGTTTTCCCGATAAATGTGATTACGGTGTAATTCTTTAAGCATGATTTTTAAATTTTTTTATTTTTTCATAACTTTCAAACACATATAAAATGCTAAATTTAGTTCCTTAGTTGATACTTTAAATGTATTTGTAATTCATAATAATAATATTTAAACTTTTACTAAAATAAAAGTGGATTTAAAATATTTTTTGCACATTTAAATTTATTCGATTTTCGTAAAATAATAGAACATAACTATGATTGTTTTTAGAAATCTGAACGGACTTAAAAAGTTCTTGCTTTTGGCGTTATGGGAACCTAGCTCATTCTTATATATATATATATATATATAATATCTAAGCAATACATTTTAAAAAAAAAACTTAGAATTTGTAAAAAATAAAAAAAAAATTTTAAAAAAAAAAAAAAAAAAAAAAAAAAAAAAAAAAAAAAGATAATGAATAAAAATAGTAATTCTTTTTATCTTCAGTATGATTTTGATCGACGAACTGGGAAATGGTGGTACAAGGAAAATACCGTAAGTACAAGATCAGATTTATTTAATAGCTTTAATATCCATTCTTTGCAGAATAAATGGAATCCTTTCCAACAGTTAAAAAAAATCGGAATATTTTTCAAGTTAGATCTATAAATTAATTTTACAAATTACTTTTACTAACCAACAAACCTTTTCAGGTAACTCAGGCACTCAAAAGCAAATCAACGTCACAATTTCAGATCATTCATCCCATCAAAATTCTTTCAAAGTCATCATTTCAGGTCAATCACCCACTCAAAATCCTTTAAAATCATATCCAGGTCATTCAGCCTCTCAAAAGCCTTTCGGATATGACCTTTACAAAAGGCAGCTTTAAAATGAACATCAGCAAAGACTTGAAAGTCGAATGTTCAAAGGACACAATCACAAACTCGAAATCTCCAACTTGGTTATTGGACGGTTCAATACCAGGGCTGTACTACGAGGTAAGCAATCAATACAAGAAAATTGAGTTGGAAACTGCATCCTCTTTCAAAATCCATTATACTAACTTTGTCTATGTCAGTCTGTTTAAGGTATGGTCTTCAGAAGGCTAACTGACCCATTTTCCGTCATCCTATCGACAACTTGAAGCGATAGCGCTAAAATTATTGAACAGTTTGGCTCAATCTTTGAGGAGAATTAAAAATGCTACAAAATCATTTAAGAAACATTTTTTTTTTGTTTAATAAGATTTTGTTTAATAATGGCTTCCGAGTCATTAGATCATGTGAGACCCAGCTTCTCGAATTTGTAGAAGACTTGATGACCAATCTGGAGAACCACAAGCAGACTGACGTGCTAGTAATGGACTTCGCAAAAGCATTTGACCGGGTGAATCATAGTTTGCTTCTACACAAACTCCAGATATATGGGATTCAAGGCACCACTAAAACATGGATCTCTAGCTTCCTCAGCCACCGACGCCAAGCAGTAGTGGTGGGCGGTACAATCTCCTCCTTTGTCAATGTGAAGTCAGGGGTCCCCCAGGGATCAGTCCTGGGCCCCTGTTTGTTCCTAGCATACATTAATGACCTACCGGAGAAACTGGCATCACAGGCAAGACTGTTCGCAGATGACACAGCAGTGTATAGGACGATCGCCAATAGATCTGACCAGGACCAGCTGCAACAGGATCTCAATCTGTTAGCTGAGTGGGAGATGAGCTGGGACATGGAATTTCACCCTGCCAAGTGCCAGACACTATCAATCTCTAGAAGTTGTACTCCTCTACACTACCAATACAAACTGCACGGCCATATTCTTGGGCAAGTTTCATCCGTAAAGTACCTGGGTGTTACCATTCAAAGAGAGGTCCGCTGGGACGAGCATATTAACAATGTATGTAACCAAGCAAACCAAGCCTTGGGGTTCTTAAGGCGAAATCTAAAGATTGGCAACTCCTGTGTGAAAGAAAGAGCATATAAAGCCTTTATCCGTCCGATTTTAGATTATGCATCTTCAGTCTGGGACCCATTTACCCAGAAGAGCATTGACAGGTTGGAGGCGGTCCAGCGACGAGCAGCACGCTTTGTCCTAAACCGCTACAGGAATACCTCTAGTGTTGGCAGCATGCTAGAAACACTAGGCTGGTCACCATTGGAGAAACGACGACGACAATCCAGGCTCTCCATGATGTACAAGATAAATAATGGGCTGGTCCACTGTTCCAGTATTAAACAGAAACTCGTCCCTCTCCCCCATAGACAGCGACGAGGCCATGACAGGCAATTCAGGCTCATACCAGCAAGAAGCCAGTATAGGAGCAGCTCATTCCTGCCCAAGACAATCAGGGACTGGAACCATCTTTCAAAAGGAACAGTTGAGGCGACAACACTAGACATATTTGTGTCTATTGCCTCAAGCCTTCAAACCCCTAGTGCATAATTTCCTCATCACCACCAGTAACAGAAACATTGCAAATCCCATCTACATGCATAGGAGCCAAAATGATCAATAAATTGATCGTGGGCCCTTAAGATATAGAAGAAGAAGAAGAAGATTTAAGAAAACCAAAGCGCAGTGAGCATGCTACAGCAGCATGGAGATCAGCGCTAGATCAATATCCAAACAATCGATCAAAACACATTCTTTCAAATGTTCAGGCCCGAGCCGCAACCCGCAAACCCATTAAAATCAGCCTCTCCTGTTTTTCATGGAGAAGATAAATGAAGTACGATTCGCTCAATGGGTGCGTGTCTTGGTGTGGAGATTAGTTGTGCAGCTGTTGCTGTGTGCTTTGTATTCGTGACCCATTTTGATATGCGGTAAAAAATAAAACGTATTTTTGTACGGGGAGAATGGAGGAAATTATGAAACGTGTTTTCGCCAGAAGTTTATCCATGTACATAACGGCTTCGCAATAAATAATACATTACGTACAATTACATAAATGCACAAAAAGTGTTTGTAAATGATTCACACGAACAAGTTTGTTTTTAGGTTTTTATTTAAGGCGCTGTCTTTCTGTTCTAATTAGAATGAAAAGTGTGTCATTGTTGTCTACACATCGGAACAGCAGATGGACGTGCTGGATCTTAATGGATTTATTGAATGTCACTATCATTGAGATGCCTCTAACTTTGCTCTGCGTCCAAAACTAATATTGCGTCTTTTTAAGATTGAAAAAGGTAGCCTAAAATAGCTCTTAAATATCTAGACTAAAATAGCTCTGAAATATCTAGCCTAATATAGCTCTGAATTATCTAGCCTAAAATAGCTATTAATTAACTAGCCTAAAATAGCTTTGAAATATCTAGCCTAAAATAGCTTTGAAATATCTAGCCTAAAATAGCTCTGAAATATCTCGCCTAAAATAGCTCTGAAATATCTCGCCTAAATTGGCGCCGAAATATGTAGTCTATAAAATAGCTGTGTTACAAATGTCAGCTCCCTCGGATGAGCAAATTCTCGATTAAAGTTTCGTTATAAATCGTTATTCTAACCATTACAAAATGCTCATGGAATTGTAGTCACATAAACGACTGAGTCCTATAACTGACCGAGTCACATACACAGCTGAGTCCTATAACTGACCGAGTCACATACATGGCTGAGGCACACAAACGACCGAGTAACTTTATCAACCGAGTCACAAAACGATTGTGTCGCCTTATCGACTGAGCCACATACGAACACACCATATGCCTATAAAAATGAAGTACGTTGTGCATTGTATTGACATGTTTGTATACTTTGCTGGGGAGCGATTTGATACGTTTTCCCATGAATTCTAACCTGAATTAAATGTAAACCATTAAAAAGATTCTGAAGAGTTTTGACCTGTAGCATCTAATCAATTATATGACATAGAATACTTTGCTGGAGAGCGATTTGATACGTTTTCCCATGAATTCTAACCTGAATTAAATGTAAACCATTAAAAAGATCCTGAAGAGTTTTGACCTGTAGCATCTAATCAATTATATGACATAGAAACACAGCTTTAATTTATTTTTTTTATTTTTTTAATGCAGGAAATCTTAGAGAGGGCACGCTACCTTTTTGAAGAGGCCAACGAGGTATGTCCCTTCTTTACAACAACTCTTTGACTATTTTAAATGACATATATTATGTCTTCTGCCTGCTCCTCTAGATGTGAATCAGAATAATTTTAAAAAATAATAAGCAACTCTTTGGGAAAAGATTTACCCCATTTTTCATTTAAACAGAAACTTATTTCATTTCCCATGAACAAGTAGTGAAAACAAAATAAAATTATAATAAATAATTTAACGAAGCATTTTAAAAGGGGAATTTAACAATCGCACGAATTTAAATTAGAGTTTCACTTCTTAATTTCATGACTTCCCAGCGTGGACGGTTCGAAAGTCGCGACCAAACACGTGACTATGACGAGGTGGCTCACAAGCTGCGATGGTTCATGCTACCGAGTGAGGCGGTCGACGTCATTTATGGAAGAAAAGTGAGCGAGGATACAATTTTTTTTCTTCCTGTTTTTTTTTGTTCAGCTTTGCGTACATGTAAAATGATTTGTTCTATACCTATACGCCATACGCTTTATTTTTAAAAATTGTAAAGCGCTTAGAGCTGTAAGGTAAGCGCTATTACAAATATGCCTTAATAAATACGCTCGCTTGACTAATTTCTTTGAACGTATCAAGGATATCATTACGATCGTTTGGGATCGTTACGTCATTGCAACGGGGCTACCGAGTCTACGATGTCAACGCAGAGTGGCGGGACGGTTCTTTTATATTAAATAATAATAATAATAATAATAATAATGTGTTAACTGATTAGTTCTCACTATATGGGTTGTTTTTATTATTCTTTAAATCCATACGTAAAAACGGCATTGAATCAAATCTTTGACTCGCCCTGGGGGGGGGGGCACTGATGGCAACCGTGATTTATCTCAAGGTATAACGGTATTGAAAACATCGTGTGTTTTATTTTACACTAAATCCTTATAAAGTGGAGAGGTATATAGAAAATGTCTTTCCCCATTTTCAAAGGAAGAAAAATCCTACACCTGTAATTGGAGAGCTACTAGCTTACTATTTACTCATGGATGTAATATTATTTCCAGGTGACCTGTGTAGCCCCAGAACATCTTCCCTTCCTTCCCGTGACCTTGGCGGAAAAGTTGAAAGCCCAGAGCAACAACCGTTACAAATGAGACGCAAGTAGCCCCTTCATCGATTTGAAGAAGGCATTGCGGACAGCTCATGGGGGCTCCTATTCGCAACAACCGTTACAAATGAGACGCAAGTACCCCATTCATCGATTTGAAGAAGGCATTGCGGACAGCTCATGGGGGCTCCTATTCGCAACAACCGTTAAAAATGAGACGCAAGTATTCCCTTCATCGATTTGAAGAAGGCATTGCGGACAGCTCATGGGGGCTCCTATTCGCATCAACCGTTACAAATGAGACGCAAGTAGCCCCTTCATCGATTTGAAGAAGGCATTGCGGACAGCTCATGGGGGATCCTATTCGCAACAACCGTTAAAAATGAGACGCAAGCATTCCCTTCATCGATTTGAAGAAGGCATTGCGGACAGCTCATGGGGGCTCCTATTGCAACAACCGTTACAAATGAGGCGCAAGTAGCCCCTTCATCGATTTGAAGAAGGCATTGCGGACAGCTCATGGGGGCTCCTATTCGCAACAACCGTTAAAAATGAGACGCAAGTATTCCCTTCATCGATTTGAAGAAGGCATTGCGGACAGCTCATGGGGGCTCCTATTCGCAACAACCGTTAAAAATGAGACGCAAGTATTCCCTTCTTCGATTTGAAGAAGGCATTGCGGACAGCTCATGGGGCCTCCTATTCGCAACAACCGTTACAAATGAGACGCAAGTATTCCCTTCATCGATTTGAAGAAGGCATTGCGGACAGCTCATGGGGCCTCCTATTCAAGTAAAGTTCATCTGATGTTCAAGTCAACACAAAAGCTGTTTATCCAATGCAAATGTAGCAAGTAACACATTTTGTTCTACAATCTACACCAGGAATAACATACACCGCTGTGCTGCTCACTACTTCGAATAAAAAGGATGGGCTTGAGAGTTCCTCGGGCAGTGACAGGTGCCATGGGTTAATTAAACGGCCCATAGAAACGACGTATTTCGTATTAATCCTTTATATGATATTTTTATTATTATATTTAATGATAATATTCTAATGTCCCACCCCTTTTTGCCCCGCATAATCATTTAAACAACTGTCTAAGAAACAACAAAAGAATGTATTTAGTTTGCGGTATGAGTAATGTTATTGAAATAATCGTAATGTGAACAACCCAATAAAATATGTTTTTGTTAACAGTACTTTTTCTCGACCATAATTATGAGAAATAGATGACTATCCAAAATCACCAAGAAGCTATTGCAGAGGTAAGACTGTGAAAGAATAGCTCCAGTTATGAGAAATTGATGACAATCCAAAATCATGGAGAAGCTATTGCAGAGATAAGACTGTGAGAGAATAGCTCCAGTTATGAGAAATTGATGACAATCCAAAATCATGGAGAAGCTATTGCAGAGATAAGACTGTGAAAGAATAGCTCCAGTTATGAGAAATTGATGACAATCCAAAATCATGGAGAAGCTATTGATAAGACAGTGACAGGCTAGCTCCAGTATGAGAACAATCTTGGACATGATGATATTATTTAGTAAAATCTTAATTGTAATGTTTGACATTGAAGGGTAAAATCTATAAATTGTAAGTCAGCATTTAAGTCTTAATTTTTTTTTCTTATCTTTACTTTATAATCCAGTGTAATGAATGAAGCAATTATTCAACTTGCAACTTTGTATGTTTGCTGAAAATTAATCAACTTATACACATTTTTTCCCCTTTGATAATGGATGCAACCTGAATGTCTTAATTATAAGACCTCGTGTGTTGCTGATGTATATGATGTCATAATTATAATGTACATATCCATTTATCATGTGGGTACGATGACACTTTAAAAACAGTTCTTATGATAAAGTTTTTTTTTTAATTTAAAAAAATCAGTTGGACAGTGATATGTATATAGCGATATTTTAATGAACACCATCCATTCTATTTATTACTTTGCAAAATATCTCATTATTTATGTTAATGGTAGTTCGAATGATTCCAGACCACTGGTTTTATTGACCGTTGGTTTCACTGACCATTAAATTTCATTGATCATTAAATTTCATTGACCATTAAATATCATTGACCATTAAATATAATTGACCATTAAATATCATTGACCATTAAATTTCAATGACCATTAAATATCATTGACCATTAAATATCATTGACCATTAAATATCATTCACCATTGCCTTCATTGATTTCATTGGCCATTAAATTTCATTGACCATTAAATATCATTGACCATTAAATATCATTGACCATTAAATATCATTGACCATTAAATATCATCGACCATTAAATATCATTGACCATTAAATATCTTTGACCTTTAAATTTCCATGCGTATTGGTTTTATTGACCAAAGGCTTCATGCATCTTTAAATACATTGCGCATTTTAATTAAATTAAAGTCTGTACATAACATTTATACAAATTCCACTGCAGATGCATTTTTGCCTTAGTCTTGATTCACCATATTTTCTTGGGGTTATGATTTTGTGATGATAATGTCACGGTAATGCTACCTTTGGGAGTTTTATTTTAATTTTAAAAATGCAATACATTGTGATAAAAACTTGCCTATTTATCTTCATGATTCATTGAGTTGAGCCAGGTTGATAACAACCAGAAATCATTTGACCTCAGCGAAATAAGTTTCCGAAATGTAAATATATTTATAACAAAACGACTGGCAATAAAATTGAATCTATATAAATGCGTTTCTTTGAATCATTTCTTTCTTCATCCTTGAATACGAATAACTGTTAAAATATCTTTTCGAGTAACCAATTAATGTTGTATAACGATTTTATCTAGATGTCTGACGGCGACAATTCTGACAGAGAGTTAAACCAGAGATGTAGCCTATCTAGTCATACAACTTTGTGGGATCGAATTATTTCACTGATTTAGAAAATAGCAACGAAATTGGGTTATTGATAAATACATGTTTAATCTACCTCATAAAATGATGGCCTGCTAATTATTTAGGCTTATTATTTTTTTTTTAAAATATGATGGGCGCTGTTGAATATCACACAACAAATAGTAAACGAAAGACCAGGTTAATTCATTCTGTAGATAATTTGAAGGCGCCCACAATAATTTAGTAAAAATAAAAATAAACTTTTTAAAAGAATTATCATTGTTAACAAACAAAATAAATTTATCATAAAACGTGGGGATGTATTTGTATGCAAAAAAAAACAACAAAAAAACCCTACAAAATAGAACAAGAACAACAAAAAAACAGCTGCTTCAGCACATAGGGTAATGAGGGTGATGTTCCGTTCGGTACAATATGTCATCGCATCGATTTTAGATTTACACTTGTAAATGTTACCGCGACATTTTTTAGGGGCGCACTGATGCGGAAGTGTATTGTCCAAAAGTGCCATTCAGACGATTGGTCGTAAAGTAGAGCCGGGTGTTTGATAATTGATAAGGTCAAAGGTCACATCTGTTTCACGTCGACACAAAAAGTAGTGTGTTTAGGCTGTCAGTCAGAGTGAGAGTCGTGCTAATTTCATAAAACGTTTGATGGTATGAAGTGGGGCCTGCTCATTTCAAAGTGTTTTCTTTCAAGTCCAGCTGATTAGGTTCTGCCTACAAATTTCAAAGGACAATGGAGTAATGCAAGCAGTAATTCAAGAAATATATTCTAATTCGAGAAAACACTCGAATATATAAATAAAAATTTAAATTAAATAATAATTCTAACTCACTTGTATACTTATTAAATATAAATATTATATAATATATGGACTAGTTTAAGTATTTTAAAAAAATGAAGCTTTATCAGACGTTTATATAGTCATTATGAAATGTTGTTATAGTAACCTTTTTGGTGAGTAAAAAAATTAATTAGATAACAAGAAATCGACACTAGGAAAGAAGTTAACTAAAATAATAATCAAAAGTTACAGGAGCATTTCATCATTAGAAATATTTGTTTCGCTAAGATTCATTTTTTTTTACAAAGAGGATTATGTCTTATTTTAATAACCGAAATATAGTTAAGCTTGTAGGCAGGGGCAGCAACCATTACATAAGTCACAGATCCTTGAACTGTTCTCTATGTATTCTTGTCTGCTGAAGAAGGTCAAAATTTCTCCTTTTTCTGTCCTGTCTTCATATCAAGCTTCAACATACCTCGTTTTCCACTATAACCTTCCCACAGCTTGAACTGGGTCCTTCGCAGAGTTTCCTAGAACTGTGTGGATTGGTCATCTAACACGTCAATTGAAATTGTAAATATCATATAGTATTCAAACGTATATTGAAGTAAAAGATATTTTGCACTATCATGAAGAAAATAAAATACAAAAAAAAAAAAAATGAAACAAAATAGTTTGTGTACTTGACATGTATTGTGATGCAAAGTAATAAATAATAGTGCACAAAATAAGAGACTGATGCCAAAGTTTGAAAATATGACAATATCCAAGCTGCAATGCGCGTGGTTACAATGCCCATTTCCTGGTTCATGCGAGACACACGTTCTAATATAACCACGTTTTGGCCTGGCGAACTTTTATTCTCAAACCATTCTTAGGTTCATACCCTTACGATGAGCTGCAACCTGATTTGGAAGAGAAGATGAACGAGAGAGGATAGTTATTACTTTTCTGTAATTTAAAACGTTTTTTTTAAAAACAGCATTAGTTTAAAATAAAATAATTTGATGTAAATGGTCAGATATTTTAGTTAAACATGATATATTTTTTTTTATACATTTATGATAAGGCCAAAGTCCATACTATAGTAATCTATAAATTTTAAGACGTTTGTGATTTTTGCTGTATACAATTTTGAGTCATGTAGAAAGAAAAATTGTACACGTGACCAAAACAATTTCTACATTTTGGAAGGAATTTAAGTAAATTGTTTTTAAAAGCACCGGCTAAATTTGTTGAAAAATTTGTTTTAAAAAAGCTTTGTATTTTTTAAAAAAAAAGTGATAATTCATTGCAGAGTCTCAGCCAACAATCCATACCTTATAATAAAAAGATGGCCACGGCTCCTGTTTTTACCTCAGAACTCTTCAGATCAGACACATTACCAAGTAATTGAGATATCAGTTTGGAATCCAGAATACCCATATCTCC